GCCTTCAAGAACAGATCTAAATGAAACAAGTTAAGAACAGATGTCGGATGGCATGGTCAATATAATGGTATTTTATCGGAATCATGAATTATGCAATTAGTTCCAAAAGCACAATCTGACTGGTTAAAAAGCGCTGTACCCTATAAAATGCCCTGAAGCTACATGAAGTCACTGTCCTCACACAACCATCCATCACAACTTTACAGGAGATGGCAAAAATGTTCTTAGAGGGCCCATATCCTACTTTTTTACCCTGAGATCCAAGTATAACATTTGTGTGGTTTTATGTACCAAAAATGTCATAACCTATTTTTACATGACCATTTTCCAACCTCTCGTTATCCGCCAGAATCAAGCAGATTGTCTTTGTCACTCTGCCTTTAAAACTGATGTTTTAATGAGATCTCTTCTGATTGGCTGCCGTGTATTATGCCTCATTTAAAAAGCAGTCTAGGCTGAAACACTCCTTATAACTTTAGCGTGAACAGGCGGGGCTAAATGTATATAGGCTGACAAATGTACATGATAAGACTTTTCATGAAAACAGTCCAAAAACAGCTTGTTTTTGCAGCTTAGGTTCCACATACGGACTGTATAGACTGAGGAGGAATGATAAGTTAAGAAACTTTAACATACTACTTGTGTTAGAGTGTTTAAAGAGTCTTTTTTTTAGTACAGCAGCTGCCCTCTACATTGTGTGCACATTTTGTGATAAACAGACCAACAAAAATGCTCCAAAATGACTTATAAATATAATCTTGACCCGACAGCTTAAGAACATTTTTGCCTTCTCCTGTAAAGTTATCATTTTGGAGATACATGGTTTTGTTATGACTGTGACTGTATGTAAGATCAATGTATTTCTTCGGATAGAAGCAGCTTGTCTGTGTGATCTACGTCCCCAACTGCACTGCAGTGGGCTTAGTCCTTTCCCCAGCTGCTTTTTCTACAATAAATCCTGCATTTAAAACCAAGCCATACAGCTTCTCCACCAGTTTTATCACCCCGTATACACACATACACATATACAGACACACAGACACTCGAGGGAAGCGCAGATTATCTTATTTACTCCGTCTTGTGGAAATGCCACTCGTTAAAAGGCGGCCAAATTCAATTCCCTGAAAAAGTCCCTCTCCGGTTTGGTCCCAAACTCTTTGATGCCCGCTCCGCTGTGACTGCAGCTCGCCACAAATAGCAAATAAGATTTTTTTGTAAAACACGACTCAGCAGGCCATTGGGCACAGCGTTTATTCCAGTGTATTTCTGTCTCCACATGACATCCCCTGCAATAACCACTCTGAGGACATTTCTCTCTCTCTCTCTCTCTCTCTCTCTCTCTCTCTCTCTCTCTCTCTCTCTCTCTCTTTCTCTCTCTCTCTCACTCCATTCATTCCACTTTAAGGCAAGCAGAATCTTCCCTTGACAACCAGAGTCAACAAAAAGGAAAAAAGGGGGGGATATATTGGCCGCTTCTTTCTTAATTGCCTCCCCCTGCACCCACCCTGTTTTTGAGCAGATCAAAGGTAATAATCCCCCATAATCCTTGGCTGTGCTCTTCCTGTTGTTATGGTCATTACGAGTGACTGAGGCTGCCTGTCACCTCTCGTGTTGTTGCTAAGCTAACGCTATTGTTGTAGAAAAATAAATAAATAAATAAATACATTTAAAAAAAACCAACACCACACTGGCTCAATTTCACAGTCAAACGCCTATTTCATGGATGGACAGCCACAAGGATAATTAGACGAGCCCGGAGCGAATGCTGCAATGACGCACTGCTTCGACAGAAAATGAGGCCGCAGTTTTTAGCTAAATGAAAAGAGCCAACTAAAGTCACTACCCAGACTTCAACCACACCAACCCTCTACATGCATAACCCATTTACAAAAGAGAGCAGAGTTTACAACAAGAAGACGCCAGGGCTGCACAATATATGGTTTGGTAATCGTTATCATGATCTCAGCCTTTGCAACACCAATATCGCAGAAGATTACTATATGCTAATGAGCACTCTAACCTATCACAGTATTGTTTACTGTTCTATGAGCATCTTGACTAATCGCTAATCCATATTAGTGGCTTTCTGGGTGTTTTGATGAATTAATCGCTGTGTTTTTTGTTTTTTTTTTTACAATAATGAAAACTTGATGTAGCAAATTATTAACCCCCCCTCGGAATGTGACTCCTTCTTTAAGAGATTATCAGTGATATATTGGCATGATTTCCAGTGCTGTGGTGATGTGTGACAGGCCGGAAATTACAGAGGAGAACCACAGATGGTCAGTACTGCACCAGGGGCGCTCAAGAGCGATGAATTTTGTAGAATCCAGTGCAACCCACAAGCTCTATTCCCAAGGTGAGACAGAGCCTCATCTCGCTGGAACAGATCTTGGACAATTGCGGAGTTGATGTAACATTTCCACACCAAAGGGGACTTGCGCAGTACGAAGGCAAAGGGACAGGGGCTCAAGCCCCACCCCAGGTCTATCCATGCATGTGTACGTACCTCAATCACAGTAACTAGCACAATACTTGTACTTTGTCTACACTATGCAGGCCCACATTCAGATATGATAATATGATTTGTGAGCTCCATGTCACAATCTAATGGTCAATATGGCTTCATTGCAAGGATTAGGCCGAAGTATCTGCAGATGTTCACACTTTTACAAACAGTGAAACACTACAACACAGGAAACAACCTCCAAACTGAACATTCATTAGCCTACCTTAACCTGAAGTCTTGAAAAGGTTTATGATGTACACACTTCAATCCCTCATAACCTTTTCAATTATCCCTTAAAGCTAAAGCAAACTCCGTCCTGCAGTATTAAAGCATGTGCTATTGAATAGGTGCAAGAGCTTTCCTCTAACACAGATGGAACTAGCATATCCCCCCCTCAAGCTGCTTTGCCAAAGTTTTTCTGTCTTGGGAACCATAACCATTTGATGGCTGCACTCAGAATGAATTGTTTGGAACAGAGTGAATGCAGATTTATACAGCTCCTAGAGAGTATGGCTGGGTCCGCTCCAAATGGACAGGAATGAGCGCTACAGCACGGCATTACACAGCTTTCCACTTAAAAATTTTACTCCATGGATTTTATGGAGCCCAGATGATTTTGATGCACAACACTTTTTAGAGCCTCCTAGGCTTGACACTCACCGAAAAGCCATGAATGGGTCTAACCACATGCCACAGTAATGCAGCCACCCGCTGAGACAAAATAATACAGTTATCACTGTAATAGCCATTCAGGTTTCTCTGTTACAGGTTATACAATGTCATATTCAAAACATAGTAACAAGTTATACCATGGTATGTTCAAAATGTAGTACCAAGTTATATCATGTTATGATCAAAATACAGTTGCAAGTTATACGATGTTACGTCCAAAATGTGGTACTAAGATGTACTTATGGTCTCATGTATGTCATGGTCAAAATTTATTAACATATTGTTCCATGATATGGACAAAATATGGTGATAAGTTGTACCATGTTATGTTCAAAATAGAGTACCAAGTTTATACTGTGCTATGGTCAAAATATGGGACTAGGCCATATAATCTAATAAACATAGTATCAGGATATATCATATTATGGCTAAACTACAGCTACTATTGAACAACATGACTGAATATAACATCTCTTGTTTAGCTTGTTTTTAATCATTTTTTATTTAGCAATGTTCCCCAACTTCAGTCATTGCCCCCTCTTCCTACACTGGACAGTTTCATGTTTACCCTGCTCTAACACCTGATTCAGCTCATGAAGGGCTTAATAATTACCTAATGATATGACTCAGGTGTGTTAGAGTGGATAAAATACAATACTGACAGGTCTGCACTCTGGGACCTGCTAAAATAGCAGACATGCATCTCACTGTTTAGACAAACACTAATTCTAACCATATAATAAGGTCAAATTCTTGTTGCACAAAAAACTTCAATATGACATTACAAGTCAAAGGAAGTCCATCAGTTGGTTAACAGGCTGGACACAGACCTGTCTTTAAATTACATTCAACTAAGTGCCTATTATCATCATGACTGTTTCCTTGCTCTTGTACTATGTATAATGTAACTCACTTTAACCCTAACCATAACCCTAAACCCCAGGCCTGGTTCTAATTCTAACCATAGCACTACTGTGACCTGTTTTTACTAATAATTTGAGAATCTGTAGACCATCTATAGATGACTATTCAAATTACATGGGACCTGGAGTTGATATGCTTGTGTGGTTGTGTAATGCTGTTTAAAAGTATGCATTACTTTTTTTTCTTTGAAAATGTGGATTTCCAAACTCATCTTAGTACCTGTTTGCTTAAAGGAATAGTTTTCCACTTACCCCAGATGTAGCCGATCGGTCCAACATGTTTGGAGTTTCTGTAAAGCTACATCTCCAAAAAGTCTCTCAATTGGCATCCAGCTCTTCTTTAAGGTCACACAGACTTGCAGAAGTGGTTTAGAGAACAGCGGAACAGAACTTACTGTGGAACAGAACTTACTATAAACTACAAAAATAAACATAACTTCACTGCTATAGGCAGTCTGTGTGACCTTAACGAAGACCTGGATGTGTTTTGAGGGGGTTGAAAGAAGTTTTAGTGATGTATTTTGCAGAAATTATTTGGGCTATACGTTACTGAGTTTTAGTGTTTGTCAGCTTCGCTGCTCCAGTTCTAAACTAAAGAAGCAAAGTGTGCAAACATAGGTAGCTTGACAACATCTGAGGTAACAGGAAAACTGTGTAAATTAGATTTTTCACCAAACTCTTCCTTGATACAGGGCTTCCAAATGTGCCCGTGTACTTTGTAATGCAACAATGAAATAAATTGTGTAATATCTTCATTTTTAACTAAGCTTTTTACTGAGCTGTATATGGAAATATGTCAAACAAAATGATGACAATAATTACAGTGTAAATTTCCAACTTCCAAGCTGTCCATCAGACACGGTTTTTGAGATCAGATAAGGAAAAAAGTGCCTCACCATGAGTGACGAGCAGGGGGTCTCAGGAGAGAACAGGACACAGCAGTAGGCGGTAGTGCGTGGAACCTTTCACTTGTGGCCAGAAGCCCAACTCCCATCTCCTAAACACTTCACCCTGGATAGCTCTCTGTGGGGGAAACACACAGAAAAATAAAGCATTAAGGAGAGTATGATCACCAGAAGATCAGTCACTATGCCCAAGAAACCCATTACTAACAAGCCGAGTGAACTAAAGTCAGATGTTAAAGGCAAGGCCTACACAGCATATCTCTCAGGAGACTGGAGTCAGTTCCATTCAGCGTGGCTCTCCAGAGAGGCCAGCTTGTGTGTAAATAGAAGGAGGCAGATGCTGGAAGGTTACGTGAGCACCATGTAAGATACACCTACGGATTAATTAACACGTGAGGCGAAACATTAACACATGTCAACACACATGAGGCTGGAGCTGCGGATGCATGACACAAGCCCCTCATATCTCTACTGAGGCAAGAAAAAACAGGGACAAAGAGGAACAGAGAGCAAAGCAAAGAATACAAAGAAAGAAACAGAGCAAGAGGAGGAAAGCATAGGAGTAATAAAGGGGAGAGCGCAGGCATAAGAAAAAAACTGACTTTGAAATTAGTATAGGGCTATAGGTTTAATTTTTAAGGGATAGCACTAGCAGCTCAAAGAGGCTGCCTTCTGAGCTTACACTACAGCTAACCGGTACAATGCTGGATGCTGATGAGGACTCATCATCTTCTATTCAAGATCTCCTCAATGGACAATGTGTCAACATGTTAGTTAGACATACATTTCCCTCTTTCTGAACCTACATAACGTCAGCTAGAGTAGTCAGAAGCTAGAGAGGTTAAAAGTGCAAGATCATAAAACTTTCCAGTCCTGTTACTAGCCTTGTCACAATTATTACATAATCGTCTAATCGCAACTATTTGAGTTGACTGCATTTATTTAAACTGACTGCAACCGTTTTCAGCCGATAGATGTCACATATTATGCTGCAACAAACAAAATGTAAATTGAGTGTGTTGGGTTGAGGCAAATAAATGTAAATAAAAGAAAGCAGTAAATGCATTTGTAAAGACTCATTATGGGACGTGTGAACTTCTAATGTGGTGCTAGGTACTGTTTATGTAGCCATGTAACTAATTCTAAATTGTCATGCTCAGAAAAGGAATGTAGCTTTTCATAACTATACACATAATTCTGAGTAATAGTAGACATTTAGTGTACAGACTATCATTTTAAAAGTAAACATAGCTACGAAGCAAGTGGCTAATCTTACTTGGCTGCTTTAGGCTTGCATATTAATAGTTGCATACAATTAACAAAAAAAGATCAATTGTTAATTGCAATTAATTATATGACAATCATCGGCTAAAATGTCATGATTGTGACAGCCCTACTTTTTAAGATATAACATTGCATCTCATTTTGAATTGCTTGCTTATATCTCTTCTCCATCTTCCCTTGATTAAAACATAACAAACATCCAAATAGTGATTTCAGCATTTGAATACTGGTTAATCTAGAGATCAGGTACCCGTGCACTTCACGACTCAGCACTCCTAAAAGTAAAATACTACTCGTTACTTGCTACTGATGACTATCTTTTATGATTTTAAGCTGCCTAACTTGCTACAAAACAAAGAAACGGAAGCTCAGCTATGTTTCCACTGTTAAATTGGTGCTGTGAATAAGAAACACAATACATTTCACACATGTATCAGACTGTGTTTTAAATTTTTGAGTAATCATTTTAAGCAAAACTTACTTAAGCAAAAATGACTCAAAATACCCATCACTATTAGAAATCAAGAGACACAGAACAAGAAAGCAAAAGGCTGCCAAATCCCATCAAAGACACTGGAATGGTAGGGGATAGACTCAGAGCAATGCTCTGCTGTCAGAATCATTTCACTCTGCTATGGCCCCAATCCATTTACTCTCGTCCAGCTCATTCTTCACTGCCTTTTCTCTTTCTGAGCACACTGTGACCTGTAGCGTGGCTACTTGGTCTGTCAGAGGTTCTGGGGAGCCAGCAGTAGCAGGCAAGGAAAGTTTGAAGGTTTCTAAACGGCCCTGCTGTGAAGGTAACAGCTGGCCCCAAGACTGTAATGAAAAAAGAATACTGATCTACATGAATAGTGTCTATAGTGGAAACACCTGCCTTGACAAAAGCAAGGCATGGAGTCACTAACCAGAACACTACAGAGTTACTAAATAACACTCTATATTCTGTGGAGAGCAGGCTAACCACCATTAAAGCTTACAGACCTTTATTAAGGCCTTTCCACTTCTGCATTATAAACCATTAAAACTAAATCATGTATTACAGTCGTACTCCCAGATTCAGCTGCTGAAATACAGCACTCAAACAATGCTGTGCACTACACTAAGCACACACACACAACCAGAACTTAAAAATTCAAAATACTTTGATGACAGAAGAAAATGGTCTACACTGACATTCTGACATACAGTGAGCCCAATATGTCTAGGTTCACATTATAAACCTGCACCTCTTTAACTCAATGTTCCCAAGTTCACTTCAGATTTAAAAGCCTGATGTTTACCTGCAAAGACAAAAATGGACCAAATCCTGTCTACCTGATGAAAATGATGGTCAAAACCCGATCCACATCGAAAACCTTTTGTTTTAAATACGACTTATGACCAGCAATCCTTCAAGACACGTGGAAGACGAGTATCAAGACTGTTCCCTGCCCTGGTGGTGGAATGAACTTCTACTGGGTGTCCAAACAACAGAGGCCATCAAACGCCCATCTTTACAAAAAGCACTTAATCGAACAAAGTAATTTCATGCTTATTAAAAAGTCTTAAAAAGTATTTTCATTTATGAGACGTCTTACTTCTGTCTTATTACTGACTCGTTTCTGGCAGTTTCTTAGCTCAAGGCTATTTCTGTACATTCCCTGAGTGGACAATAAAGCACCTTTGTAAGTCATTCTGCATAAGAGCATCTGCTAAATGCCATAAATGTAAACGTAATGTAAGCAGCAATGCTCTAACAACAACAGAGAATTTTGTCCTGGTGGCGAAAGATTTGTTTTTACATAAATATCACAATTTGAAAGAGTTGCCATTTTAATTATAGTCTATATTTTCAAAAACGTTGTCTTGACATGCTTCAAGTAGGGAAATTTAACCTAATAAAGACATTTTATCACAGTATATAACTGCTTCAGTCATTCCGCAACGTAACGTAAGCACCAGCTTTCTGAAATATACTAGGTGCTATTACGATTGCAAGTTATTGATGTGTGAACTGCATTTTATATGACTTAATAAGCTGACACATTAGAATTTGCACGATAAAACTCTGCAGATGGACATTCACTGAGCACCACAATAATCAGGATGTTTTATTATGTTTCAGTGAGTGTGGGCAAATGGATTTTGGTCCGTATCCCCAAGCCCAGCTTCACTAATGGTTAAGGCAACTGTCCATAGACTGAACATTAGACTAAAATATGGTGTGACTCAGTTAGCAGATAAGTTACAGGCAGAAACTGCTCAGTGCAGGCGCGTTTCATGTTGAGTGGGTGTTTCTGAGTGCTGACTGAGTTGAACATATTGTTCGGTACAGGCAGACACTTTGCCAGAATGCTTTGAGTCAGGGGATATCAGGGGGAAGAAGAGAAAGAAAGACAGACAGAAGGAATGACAGACTGACTTCGCTGTTGGGATTCAGAGCACTAAAAGGTACACAGTGTTCCAATTTCATACAGAAGAGGATCCCTTTCTGTCCACACTTCAATACTCAGCAACTAAACCATCACAATCTCACATTTAGAAAAAAAAACACATTCAAGACACATAACACTGTTCACAGGCACACTTGCACACACTCACACCCTCCCAGACACAGAGGCAATATCTAAACCCTGTTCCTCCTCTGAGCAGCCCCCATGCTGTCATGATAAGGAGTGACTTTAATCCTTGCCATCCCAGTCACCCACTATCAGGTAATTCACAAGGGTGATCTGAGGGTCTACTGTGAGAGATGTAGTAGGGTTTATCTGGGTCACCACATCATACAGCTCTTTTTACAGAGCTTTGGAAGAAATCGTCTCGCCTGTTTCCTTTTGGCTGTTATTAGAGACTTTAAAGAAGCAGTGTGTAAGATTTGGGAGATCTATCAGCAGAAATGGAATACAGTATACAAAACTATGTTTTCATTAGTGTATAATCACCTGTAACTACAAATTGTTGAGTTTTCATAAGCTTAGAATGAGCCCTTCATATCTACATAGAAGCGGGTCCTCTTCCAACACAGGCCACCATGCATGTTGCTACAGTAGCACAGAGCGGACAAACCAAACACTGGCTCTAGAGAGTGTTTTTACATTGAAGCAGCAGCTTGAACTTGTCAGTGCTACAGCACTGGCTGGAAGATGTAGAAAAAAAGAACAATCCTATTTTTTTATCCTATTAATTGGTAGCTCTGTACATAAAACTCCAGGTAGGATATTTTGTTAGCTTAAATTTTCTCATCAAAAATACTACAGGCATTACAAATATGAGGCTGAAGTCTGCTTTTTATTCGCCAGCTTCTTGTTTGAATATTCCACCTTAAATGAAGCAGCAGTTACATTCTGGCACTGACACTGAGCCTTTTATTCGCCAGCTTCTTGTTTGAACATTCCCATTCCACCTTAAATGGTGCAGCAGTTAAATAAACACAGAACGTAACTGCAGGATCAAGGTGGATTGGGAAAATTCAAACAAGAAGCTGGCGAATTTCCTTAGAAAATGTTACCAGCATTAAAAGAACAGTTAGGATATTTTAATAGCCTAAATCACCTAATTGGGGGGGTGTGTGTGGGGGGGGGGTAGTGTTATTAAGCGGATTCTCTAATGAATTAACATTAAAATCACATTAAAACGAGTTACTATGCTGAACTATTCATATGCGCATGCTTGGTAGGATAAACTGTTAGAGCCCTGGTTCTGGCTAACCATTTTGTGTTGTGAGAAGTTGGAGAACCCAAATTTTGATGGAGGATCATACTTATTATTTAGCACAAGAAAGACCAAGGGAGGTTGAAGCCTTGCTGCCAAAAAACACATAGAAGCGAAACGAAATCGAAGCAATGGCAACGG